GTCAAAACGTGCTCGCCCACTCACTATTTTGTTTTTTTTCACTTTTAACTTTTTGTTTTCATTTTATTTCGGGGCCTAAAAAAAATTATTATTTTTTGAAAACTTCTTAACGAGTTATTGGCTATGTACACTACATATCTGTAAATTTTGAGGGCATCTTTCAATGCCAAAAAATAATTAAAAATGAGCAAATGTGGCAGTGTCGAAAAGGTGTTGGCACACTCACGCATTTTAATTCTCTTTTTATTTTTTCTTACTTTTATTAGTGTTTATTTTTTGTATTTGATTTTTAATTCAAATTTGGTAAAGAATTTGGATGTAGTGCCCTTGTTCAATTTATTTATCTTCATAACTTTGGTTTTTTTTGTTTTTTTTTTTTTGGCTTGATTTTTTCACTGTCCTTGCGCATTCAGGCGGCCTGGGAAAATAGGGTGACCTGGGCGGCCCGGATGGTAGCTCAGGTAAAAAAAATATATATAAAGGTTCACCAGCCTGTACGTACGTAGGTCCCCGGGCAGACCTCCGCACGTACGGGCGTTCGGGGTCCCGTACGGGGTCCAAACCCGGCGGCATTCGGCGCCCGCCAAAAATTATTTCGGGTCCTAAAAATATTTTTTTTTTATGAGTTGTTTTTTTTCAGTTCTGTATGACGTGAGGTACATGCCTATTAAGTTTCAAGTCATTTGGCTCAGCCAAGTAAGAGTTAAAAATCACCAAAGATAGTGGTGTCAAAACCTGCTCGTCCGTATTTTTTTTCACTTTTTACTTTTTGTTTTCACTTAAGTTCGGGGTCTAAACAATTTTATTATTTTTTGAATTTTTTTTCGTGGTTTTGCACTATGTGAAGTGCACATGTGTAAATTTTCAGGGCATTTAGCTATGCAGAAAGAAAAAAAAAAATCGCCATAGATGGCAGTGTCGAAAACGTGCTCGCGCACTCACTAAATTTGATTCTTTTTTTTTATTATGATTTTATTATTATTAACAGGGTCACCAGCCTGTACGTACGGAGGTCCCCGGGCAGACCTCCGTACGTACAGGAGTTCGGGGTCCCGTACGGGGTCCAACCCCTACGACGTTCGGCCCCCACCAAAAATTATTTCGGGGCCTAAAAATAATAATTTTTTTCTCAATTGTTTTTTGTGCGTTCTATATGACGTTAGGTACGTGCCTGTAAATTTTCACGTTATTTGGCTAAGCCTAAAAATAATTAAAAATTGTCACATATGGCGGTATCAGAACGTGCTCGCCTACGTATTTTTTCACTTTTTACTTTTTGTTCTTACTTTAGTTCGGAGTCTAATAACTTTTATTATTTTTGGAAACTTTTTTGGTGGGTTTTGTATTATGTGAAGTACACATCTGTAAATTTTCAGGGCATTTAGCTATGCCACAAGAAAATGAAAAATCGCCAAAGATGGCAGTTTCGAAAACATGCTCGCACACTCACTATTTTTAATTCTCTTTTTAATTTATTTATTTTTATTACTAGTATTTGTTTTCTGTATTTTATTTTTATTTTAAATTTGATAAGAAATTCGGATGTAATGCTCAGGCAAATCTTCTTTAATTTATTTTTCTTCATAACATATATTTTTTTCAGAGTTTTTTTATTGCTTTGTTTTTTTTTTTTTTTT